AGATAGGTGGGAGAGAAGATGGACAGGTTGTGTCAGGTCAAGGAGGTAGGGTTGGTCATGGATAGTAGGAACTGCAGATGCTGGAGAATCCAAGACAACAAGGTGCAGGGCTGATGAACACAGCAGGCCAAGCAGCATCATAGGAGCAGAGAGGCTGACGTTTCAGGCCTAGACCCTTCATCAGAAAAAGGGGGAGGGGAAGGGGGTTCTGAAATAAATAGGGAGAGAGTGGGAGGCGGATAGAAGAGAGGAAACAAACAGGTCAAAGAGGCGGGGATGGAGCCAGTAAAGGCGAGTGTAGGTAGGGAGTTAGGAAGGGGATAGGTCAGTCCAGGGAGGACGGACAGGTCAAGGGGGCGGGATGAGGTTGGTCAGTAGGAGATGGAGGTGCGGCTTGAGGTGGGAGGAAGAACAGGTTAGGGAGGCAGGGACGAGCTGGACTGGTTTTGGGATGCGGTAGCGGGAGGGGAGATTTTGAAACTTGCGAAATCCACATTGATAATCTGATGAAGGGTCTAGGCCCGAAACGTCAGCCTCTCTGCTCCTATGATGCTGCTTGGCCTGCTGTGTTCATCCAGCCCTGCACCTTGTTGTCTAGGGTTGGTCATGGGATGAGTCTGGGGGTGGGGAGATTTTGAAACTCTTTGTAATTAGTTATGTTCATTATTCCATTTTTTAAAAAAAATGGACTTAATCTCATTATGAATTCGTTTTGAAAAGAATACAGAAAGCCATTGCAAAATAGTACTTTTTCAATGTTTTAGGCACTTGGCAAAGGCAAAAGAAGACACATTTCTGTAGCACCATTCACAATCTGAGAGTAGTTCAAAAATTATTTTCAGAAGGCAAAACACTTTTTGAAGCATACTCAAAGTTGTGCTGTGGGTAACTACAGCAAATTCACACACAGTACACTCCCAAAAAACATGACCAAACAGATTGTATTTGAAATGTTAATTAAAAGGAGAAACATTGGCAAGGACATTAGGGAGTAGTTTGCAACTCTTCCTTGTGAAAAGATGCTGTGAGACATTTTACATCCACATTACAGAATAGAGGGAACCTTGCTTTAAACAGCTCATTTGTTAGCATCTCAAGCAAAGTTTCACAGTCCTTCACCCTCAGTCCAGATCACGACTTCCCAAATGTGATTCTATGACAAGGCTTAAAGACGATCGGAACGTCTCACTTAGCATTGGTGGGCAAGGGGCGGGGAAGAGAAGACCAGGAAGTGGGGATGCGAAGAGGGCATCAGCCTTCTTGAACCTCGCTTTGGGAATCTCTGACCCGGATTTTCTGCTCAGGCTCTTAGGTGCACATCAGGACTCCACTAAACCATATTTGACATTAAATAAGATGCTTTTTGAAGTTGAATCAGTAGTATATTAATGTAATAAAACATGCCGAAATCGAACCCTGCAATTATTCATTCAAGAAACGAAAACTGCACAATCACTTTTTACCAAGTACACATAGAAAGTCAGCAGCGTCTATATTTATGTTTTAACAAGAACATTTCTGAATTTTACAACTTTGTTGGCGACCTATTTGAAAGCACCAACTCCTTCTCGAGAGCCTCTTAAAGAGTCGAACACCATTTGAATAGCTCGCTTTGGTTCATAATTCCTTTTTATCTTCAGAAACTCGGCTGTTTTACATTTTATTCCCCATTCACGCACCGCTGAGCTGTTGAACATAAAAACTTTACATTAATACAAAAAAAATTAAAATAACCTCTACCCAATCTACTTAGTATCCCAGCAGCCTCCCTATATTCACTGCGAGGCCCCCTCACTGTTCACTCGTGATTAACGTAGAAGCAGCAGCGTTAAAAGCAAGTGGAATGTAAGGTTTCTGGATGGTAATCTTCTCTGTTAATGTACTTTTGCCATTTTTACGTTCGTAATTAAATTCCCCTACATTTTATTTTCTCGTTTTTTAAGTGCTAGCCAAATGAAATGGTATTTACCCCAGCAGAAATCCGTGATGTCTCCTGACAGCACTAAAAACAGACAAGAAAGTTGTGTTTTTCACGTGAAAGTCGACTCGCCAAGTTGATTGCCTTCTTTCACCCACAAAGTGGCGTACATTTCCCCCAAGCAGTGCTAACGCTTTGATTTCTCTCCAGTAATAATTTAAATAGATGCATCACGTTAACCATGCTTTGCTGTTTAAAATAAGGGTACAAATTGATTTGTTGGTTGGTAAACTGAGCATCTGTAACCTAATAAACTCTATTTCTCGTAAATTCATTTTAGGCGTCTGTGGCTCAGTTGGACAGCATTCCACTTTTGAATTATAAGGTTGTGGGGTCAAGTCTCACTCGAGAACGTAAATGCAAAAATGAGTGTAGACACTCCAATGCAGTATTGACAGAATGCCACCTCTCAGATATGCCATTAAATTTGGGCACTGCCTTGTCTTCTGAAAGGCCTCAATATCCTATGGTGTTGTTTGTAAACAAGAACGTTTGTGTGATGACCTGACCACTATTTATCTCTCTATCAGTATCACACTAACAGTAATGTAAAAACACAATACTGTGGATGCTAAAATCTTGAAATAAAACCAGATAATGCTAGAAATGCTCAGCAGGTCAGGCAGTGCGTGTAGATTTCAGAAAGGCAAAAGGTCATCCACCTGAAACATGAACTCTGTCTTTCTCTACAGTTGTTGCCTGACATAGTATTTTCCAGCGTTTTCTGTTTTTACATAAACAGATTATTAGGTTTTTTTATGTTACTGCTGTTAGGAACTTGCTGTGTGCACATTGGCTGCCATATTTCCTACATTACTTTTGAAGTGTCATCACTGAGGTAATTACAGGGTAGTTGGCTACAAGGTATTTTAAGATGGCCAGTGATTTTGAAAAGTGCCACATAACTGCGAGCTTCTCTTTTTAAAAATGTGTTTTTTGTCATCCTTAAGTCTCAAATGCGCACTGGTGTTTTAAGTTTTCAATACAGTTATTAATGGTGTGGATTTTGAATGCTTTGGCACTTCTGTCCAATCTTTTCTGTAAATCTAGTGGAAAACCATCCCAGCTTTTAATTATATCTCAAGCCATGAAAAGACTGATATTGTGTCCAATTCCAATATGGGTAGGCAGTAAAGCATAATTATTGTAAGCAGTACATTTTCTTCCATGCAATACGATAAAATCCAAATATATTAAAACAGTATCTGAATGCATATATAAGGCACTATGATATGGGTATTTTCAGAAAACAACATTGTTGCATAAATCTCACAAATCCATAGCAATTAATGAAAATTAAGATTCCAGCTTTATACTTGGATTAAGCAGGAGCACAGAACATTCCCATATATTTGAGATTTTAAATATACATTTTTTTCATCTTTCCTCCTTTCTCTGTCCTAAAGGGATTGCCATATTGCTGGAGGAATGTTCCTGATAACGTTAATTGTCTTCTGGTATTTTATCCAATTAGCCATTGTTTATTTCCACTTTTAATATTCGGCTTTGTAATTAGTATAAGTTTTCTGTTTGTCAGTATTGTTCCAGACAAGAGATTGTGTAACAGCAGTTCTGAAGGTATTCTTTCAGAAATGATAAATATACTCATGATGCAAAGCAATTTGAATATAAAAAAAAAATTTCAATGCATCAAATGGGAAAAGATTTCTGTAATCATCACCTTCCCAAGTTTAGATATACAGCTATATATAAATTTAAAATTGGCTTTAAATGAGGCTGGTAATTGCAATTCTTTGTCCAGGTATAGCGTAATAACCAATAAAGAGAACTGTCCTAGTTCATGCGCATGCTCATTAAGATAATTTCTCTTGGCAACTATAGTTGAATTGTTTGACTATGCAAGTCAACCAGGATGCAGAATCTTTATTTTAAATGATGATTGAGATAATGGTTCTTTGACAAATTGGCTGACCTGTAAATTTCAGTTCCTATACATCAGACATTATGAATGGTTTAATAGCTAATTGGTGGAGATATCTGTATTTTGGTGAAATTGAAAATATAGTTATATAAAAGCAAACTACTGCAGATGCTGGTGATCTAAAATGAAAGCATAAAGTACCAGAGAAACTCAGCAGCTCTTTCAACATATGTGGAGAGAGAAACAGAGTTAATGTTTCAAGACCCATGACTCTTTTCCAGAATTAATTTGCTCTGTTATGCACCCAGCTCATGATTCTACAGAACAAGTCAGATCCTAGATTAAAACCAGATTTAATAGATTTAAACCAAAAAAAAGGTAACATTGTGGTCATTTATTGAAACATAATCATACAAGGCTGCATAATTTATTTTAAAACGGAAGTTTATTGCACAAAAATGAAAAGAAATTGTTTAAATATCAATCGCAATTTGAAAGATCTTAAAACATACAGCAAAACAAAGTCTCATTGTGATTCCTGACACTATCCATCACTCAAATCCAGAGAAATGCCCACTTGATATCAAATCTTTAAATTTGACTTAACCAATTCTCGCCGCTTCTTTCTTCTGAATTATAAGTATTTTCTCATTAATACTATCAAAACTGAGTTCTTAGACTTTCTCAGCTTCTAATAAGCTGCAAACCTTTAACCAAACACTCTTGGCCTAGATGTGTCAGTAATTAAACTTTACTACTGGGGTAACTGCGCCTTTGCCTGAACTATTTTACACTCTTTCCTAACAAATAAAATATATTTGCATGTGACTCCAGTCAGGTCTCCTCTGAACTGCGCTAAAACTTTCAATCTTTGCATTTCTTAAGCTAAAATCAATCCTTGATTATCCTGAACAAAACACAAGTCAAATGCTGACAATTTGTAAACCTATGTGTTAAAACCTACCACAGTAGACAACTGCTCCAAACTCTGCAGAGGTATTTGTTGTCAAACACAACTGTAGTTTGTAAAAATGTTGAGCTATTGCACTAATCTGGTATTGCATTATCTTGTCAGCGGTTATGTTACAATATTAAAGTTTATAAGGTTATTATATTTTTGGGTTGTAGCTGTAAATTTGGTGCAAATGAAGTGGGTCATGTGATCTTTTCTGAAATCTGCATTTCAGTCAGGGTTGTGTGGTTTGATTGTTAGAAATCAAAGGAAGGTTTAGATTCTTCTGCTGGCAGAAGGTACAAGGTATTTATGCTTGTAGATAATAGGAGAAAATAGGAGAGTTTACCTTGACAGACCTTTAGTCTCCCAAATGTATAGAAAGGTGTCATTGGTATTGGGTTGGACAAAGTTATGTTGTCACAATCACAAGTATTATGGTGCAACAGGAGACTATTTGGCCCGTCATGCTTGCACTGACTCTTAAAACAAGCATCATTATTTAGTGCCAATTTCTTGTTTTCCCCCATACCATTGCATTATATTTTTATCTACTGCACTCTTGAATGCCTCAATTGAACCTGCGTCCACCAGATTTCCAAAGAGTGCATTACATACCCAAACTACACGCTGTGTTTTTTTGAGGTAGCAGACATGCTCGCCAAACCAGTGGGTTTGGTTGCAAATGTTTTGTCACCATCATCAGTGCACCCCTCTGGTGAAACATCGATGTTCTGTCCTGCTTGTTATTTATATGCCTCGGTTTACTGGGGTGGTTGGTATTACTTCCGGTTTTGTTTCTCAGTGGTTTGTACACAGGGTCTAATTCAATGTGTTTGTTGATGGCATTCTGGCTGGAATACCAGGCCACCAGGAATTCCCTGGCATGTCTCTGTTTGACTTATGCCATTATCAATGTGTTGTCCCAGTCAAATTCATGTCCCTCGTCCATGTGTAGTGAGACAAGTGAGAATTGGTCGTGTCTCTTGGTGGCTAGTTGGTGTTCATGTATCCGTATTGTCAATTTTCTTCTGGTTTGGCCTATGTAGTGTTTCTCACAGTCCTTGCATGGTATTTTGTAAATTATCCCAGTTTTGCTGGTTTTGGGTATGGGATCCTTTACGTTCATCAGTAGTTGTCGTAGCGCAGTTGTTGGTTTGTGGGCTACTCTGATACCTAGAGGTCTGAGTAGTCTTGTGGTCATCTCTGAAATGTCCTTGATGTACGGTAGGGTGATTAGTGAGTCTGGTCATGTTGTGTCTTCCTGTTGTGGTCTGTCTCGGAGGTAATAGCGGATTGTGGTTTTCGGGTATCCATTTCTTTTGAAGACTCTGTACAAGTGTTCCTGTTCTGCTTTGCGTAGTTCCAGGTTGCTGCAGTGTGTTGTGGCTCATTTAAGTCATGTCCTGATGCATCTCCATTTGTGGGCTTTGGGGTTGTTGCCAGTGTAATTGAGTATTTGGTCCGTATGTGTGTTCTTTCTATATACGCTACTCTGGAGTTCCCTGTTGTTTTTGCGTTCTACCATTATGTCCAGGAAAGGTAGTCAGTTGTTGTTCTCTTCTTCTTCTGTGAATTTTATCCCAGTGAGTATGTTGTTTATATGTTGGTGGGTTTCTTCTAGTTTTGTGCATTTGATAATCACGAAAGGTGTCATCTACATTTCGGACCCAAAGTTTGGGTTGTATAGTGGGGAGCGCTGTCCGTTCTAACCCTTACATTACTGCTTCTGCAATCAGACCTGATATTGGGGATCCCATTGGTGTTCTATTGATTTGTTTGTATATGCTGTCATTGAAGGTGAAGTGGGTTGTGAGGCACAGATCTAGTAGTTTCATGGTGGTGTTCTTATTGATGATGTCGGTGTCCTGGGTTGTCTGCTTATTTGATTTTTCTAGCAATGTGGCAGTTGTCTCTTTGGCTAGGTCGATGTTTATGGATGTAAATAGTGCTATTATGTCGAAGGGTATCATTGTCTCGTCCTCAACTGTCCCGGTGTCCTTGATGATGTTGAGGAATTCTTGGGATGAGTGGATGGAGTGGGTAGTGTTGTCCACTAAGTATTTCAATTTCTGTTTGTAGCTCTTTAGTAAGTCTATATGTTGGTGTACCTGGCAGTGAAACAATGGGTCGGAGGGGGACCCCTGGTTTGTGTACCTTGGGGAGCCTATAGAATTGGGGTGTGTTGGATCCCTCTGGCTTCATTTTTTGATAGTCTGTCTTGCTATTGTCTCCTGAATTGTGTAATTTCTTCAGGGTTGCTGTAATCCGGTTTTCTAACTGTGGTATCGGGTGTGTCGCTATCTGTTGGTAGGTATTGGTATCTGCTAGTAGTGCGTTAGCTTTCTTGAAGTATTGGCTTCTATTGACGACTACTGTCATGTGTCCTTTGTCCGCTGCTAAGATTACAATGTTCCTATCTTTCTTGAGTCTTTCCAGGGCTTTCCTCTCGTGTTGAATGTGTTCCACTTTCCTTTATTGTTCAGTGTTGGGTCTGTCGTCTGTCTGATGGTCTGTTGTACTTTTCTGTGTGTCCATTTTTCTTTAGTGTTGATTCCAGCACATCCAGGAAGTCAGTCTTTTTGGCATCTCTGTAGTTATAATTCAGTCCACACACTAGGACGGCCTTCTCAGTGTCTGTAAGTGGTCAGTCCAAGATGTTTTTAATCCATGAATCTGTGTTGTTCATGTTGTTGATGTGGGTGATTTTGGAGAGTTTTTCTTGAAGGGCTATTCTTTTCTTTGTTCTGGTCTTTTGTTATTGTATGCTGATGGCTTGTTCCAGTGTGGATGGCCATTCCTGGTCAGTTGCGTTGGAGTACAGAGTTTTTTGGCGTGCAGTTTCCCGCTCATATTTGTGGAGGCGGTTGTGGGCATCATTGATCATAACCATTATCATTCTGCAGCCATTCTGTTCAGCTGTCCTCTGTGCCTGTGGATTGTTGACCAGTAGTTTATACCTTAAGCTTTGTAGCAGTACCTGCTTTCTGAGGCATCCGTGCAGGAAGTACAATTGTTTGTGGGTTGCGCTCAGTCGGATGGCATTTGTTTCCCATCTGCGGGCCAGTTTGAGGGTATTGCACCCGTAGGTGTTTAAAGTTTTGAGAAGATTTGTTTTTTTTTCCTCACATCTCCCTTGTCTATTTTTCACGTCACTTTAAATCTACACCATCTCATTTTTGTTCCTTGTATAAGCAGGAACAGTTTCTCCCTATTTACTCTATCCATGCTGCTCATGATTTTGAAACCTTTATCAAATCTCTCCTCAGCTGCCTTCTCTCCAAGGAGAACAGTCTCCTATATTTCAATTTACCCTTATAATTGAAGTTTCTCATTCTTAAAACAAGAAACCTTTAGGATTGTAGCTCCAATATTGTCTTTCAGTGTTCTTCCTATCAGAGTACATCACGTCACATTTCTCTGTGTTGAACCTCATCTGCCACCTATCAGTCCAGTCACACCAGCTGTTAATGTCATTTTTGAGGTTCCACACTGGCCTTCTCATGGTTTACAACTTTTCCAATTTTCATATCATCTGCACACTTTGAAATTGTCCCCATGCACACCATGATCCAGATCATTTATATATATTAGGCAAAGTAGGATACGGACCTCTGGGGAACTCCACTATGGACCTTCCCTCCCGAAAAATATCCATTGATTTCTGAAGAAGGGTCCCGACCCGAAACGTCAGCTTTCCTGCTCCTCTGATGCTGCCCGACCTGCCGTGTTCCTCCAGCTCCACACTGTTATCCATTGACCATTGCTGTTTGTCTCCCATCTTTTAGCCAGTTTTGTATGGATGTTGCTACTGTCCCTTTTACACAATGACCTATGACTTTCCTCAGGAGTTTGTGATGTAGAACTTCATATAATACCACAACAACAGAATTACCCTCATCAAACCTTTACATTATCTCATCAAAAAACCCCAGCACCATTTCTCCTTTAGAAATCCATGTTGGGTATGGAAGATTGTCCATTTACTTTTATAATGAATGGGTATTAGGATGAGGGATAGCATGTGACCATCTGCCAGGCTGCTTGTTTTTTTCTTTATCTTTAAGCATTTTTTTTTGAAACAGCCCTGGTGACAATGTTCAATCCTAAGGATCTGGGTCCAGGAGTCTAGTACCGTGGATTGTATTTGATCCCACTATTCTGGAATTAAGTTAGTCTGGTGAAGGTTTTTCAGCTTAGTCATGATCTGCACTTGGAAATCTTGGAAATTGGTCATAGCGTGAACGAGGCAATGTTGAGGGGAGCGGACAAGGTGAGGAACCTGTGAGAAGCAGTTGGCATCACAGAGAGGAGCGGGTGAGGATTCTGTGACATCATACTGAGAATGTTGGCGAAGCCTCTTCTGGAGTAATGTGTCCAGTTCTGGTTGCCCTGTTATGGGAAGGATATTAAGCTTAATATCTTTTCTTCAGAAAAGATTTACCAGGACGTTGCCAGGAAAGGAGGGATTGAGTTATAAGGAGAGGCTGGATAGGCTGGGACATTTTTCACTGGAGAGTAGGAGATTGAGAGGTGACCTTATAGAGATGAATAAAATCATTAGGGGTATAGATAAGGTAAGTGACGGATGTCTTTTCCTTGCGTATGGGGATTTCAAGACCGGGGAGCAGATATTTAAGGTGAGAGCAGAAAGATTAGAGCAGACATGAGGGGTAATTTTTTTTTTTTACAGAGTGGTTCATATGTGGAATGAACTTCCAGAGGAAGTCATGGATGCGGGCACAGTTACAACGTTTAAAAGACTTTGGATAAGTACATGAATAAGAAATGTTTGGAAGGATATAGGTCAAGGGCAGGTGGGTGGGACTGGTTTAGTTTCGGATTATGGTTGGTGTGGACTGGTTGGACTGAAGGGTCTGTTTCTGTGCTGTGTAACTGAATGATAGGCAGTCAGTATCACAGAGAGGAGCAGGTGAGGTAAGGACTTGGCGACAGGCAGTCAGTATCACAGAGAGGAGTGGGCAATAAAAATAAAAATTACAAAGTTACCTTTCTTTTTAATATTGTAGCGATGGGATCAAGCCCTGTATAAAGATGATTGAATGTATTTAATGGTAAAACATCTCACATTGAATACTGATATCTGTTAGAAGTATTAATAAAAACTAATTTTTACAATAAATGAATTATGGTGCTAGAGTGTGAGAATATTCAAATTCTTTAAATATCTGTCATTGTTTAAAGTTTTTTTTTTGATACATATGTATGACTATGCAAGTACCCAGAATCAGTTTGCAATACAGAAAAGTTTGAACCTGTGATATTAGTATTAAGAATAATTACTGTGCTGTTTCTGGAAACTTTCAGCTCATTACCATCCTAAGAAAATTTTCCTTTCCTCATGTTGCCAAACCCAATGTTTTTCCTTGTTTTGACAAGCACTAGTAATGTTCTTTTCCAAGTGTTTACAACTCTCCGGAACAATTCCCTCCCACAGAATTACCAGTTAATTCCCGAGAACAGCACATTAGGTTATCCTATCACAAATGTGGCCAAACTGAAGCATCACTCATTGCCCCTTACAATCTCCTTAAATCCACCTTCTTTTGACTGTCCCAGCGTTACTTCGCCATTGCTGGATTTCCTCTCAACACCATGTCCACTATCCTTTATTATTCATGGTCAGACCCCCCAAAATTATCAATTTGCTTTTGAAAGAAAATAATGAAAGTTAAGGCAATTTGTTATCAGTAAGGTTACAGTTGCATTGTGAAGTAGGATTTTAGTCATCACAAGCCTTTCTTAAAGGAAATTGATCTATCTTAAGAGCATTGATTAGTTCCGCGATGTCTTGCAGTAAAATCTTGAAAAGTATGCTCTCTATTTTACAGCAAAAAGTTGGTGGATTTAGAGACATGGATTCATTGAATGAGACACTAGTGAAAGGTGATAATTTAATAAGAAATGGATTTGGAAGGTGAGTTTATTCTGAATTCATATTACAGATTCAGAATTTGAATTTATAGTATAAGCCAAAAGTTATTGCTGGAATGCTTTGAATATTCTGATGCGTACAATTTATTCGTAGTTTATTTTGGTTAATTATTTGTAGTTTATTTTGGTTATTTCTGTTCCAGCTCAATTTCGTAACTCTTGATCGAACTGCGATGAGATCTTTTTTTTTGATGTAAAAACAGTGAATTCCAATCAGAAATCTATTTTATGGAACAAATCTACATAAGTCTAATAGCTTAAATGTAAATAAGAATATTTCTGCTATGAACACTCAAAATGATTACTTTCCTCAAGTAGAATTATTTTCTTCATGAATGGGAAAACAGTTTTGGTGGTAATTAAATTCTGGCCTAGAGGCTACTCTTTTTGAAAATTACACAAGCTACAAAGAGGGAACATTGAACTCTATGGCAGATTTACTCACCACAAAAAGATTTGTATGAAAGGTACTAATTTGATGAGTGAAGCCCTCCATTTCTTAATTTCCATTTCATGGCCTAGAGCATCTTGAGTTATGTAATAATATCTGTTTTCAGAGCAGTAAAGAGATGCAAAAGCAACTAACTTTAATATGATTCAATAACATTGTGTCTACTCAGCTCAGAATCTGAAGAAAACAGTGTATCATGTGAAATGGAGTTGCCAGAATCCGAAACCTCAGAACCCATCTGCAAGAAACGTTGTGTGGATGCATTACTACATAGTGACATTGAACGAATGAGAAGGTAACAGTGAGATTGTTTGTTGAATGGAAGAATAAAAGAAATTATGTGTATCAGAAATAAACTGTAATACCACTTCTTACTCGTTCTCGGGAGGTTGGTGTCAGTATTTATTTCCCATCATAAATTGATCTTAGGTGGTGGTAGTGAGCCTCCTCCTTCACCTCTAGCAGGCACTTTGTTACAACTGAGTGGCTTACCTGTCAACCACATTACTGTGGGTCCAGTGCCACATTCAGGCTGAACTGGAGAGGTCAGCAGATTTCTTTTCCACGTGAACTAGTTTTTTTTATGACAATGTAGTAGTTTAATGGTCATAATTACTGATATTAGCTTTCTGATTCCAGTTTTATTTAATTAATTAAATTCAGATTCACCAGCTTTGAACTCAAGTCTGCACATAATTTGTTCAGGATTCTGGATAACTAATCTAATACATAACCATTTGATCCAATACTCATCGTAGGGACTATAGGCATATAAGTTTTCTAGGAAAGGGAGAAGATAGGAGAGGTAGTTTTATGTAATATTTATAATTTGGATATCAGCAAACTCGAACCAGTATCTTGGGAAGACAAAGTATGTATTTGAACTCACAAGCAGATAGAAGACAGAATTAATAATTAGGATAGGTTATAAGGAGTAAGATCATGGATTTATGAGAATAGGGAAATAGAAAACTGATATTAGTGCAAAGTGACCGCTAGTGGTGACAATAGCAAAGAATGTTGTGCATAATAATGAACATGTTTATTATCCGATATTATAGCAGTAAAAGAGTGCAGTGACAACTTTAGTTAGCATGGACAATGGGACCAGGAATGCAGGTTTTGATAATGAGCAAGATAACGAGCAAAAAAAAAGGTACAAGTAGTTCATGGTTTAATTGTCGAACTCTGAGCCAGTCAGCTCTCAGTTCTGCTTTGAATTGGGACTGGCAGTGATCATCCAAATTACAAGAGCACACATTGGGATGAAATGGTTTCACATAATTGTATTCTGATGTGACTTAACAAACCCAAATATTTGGAGGCTACATGGCAAATGGCTTATTCTCTGTTTTACTGTCCTGGTCTGCTGATTAAGATAGATTTGCTTTAATTAGTAACTTGGGACTTTGTGTGGATTTAGATTACTTTACTTTTCATGTTACTGCTGAAATCTAAGGACACTGCCGGGTTAACCAGCATTTGCATGTCAGCCAGAGGAGGTGGTGGAGGTTGGTACAATTACAACATTTAAAAGACATCTGGATGGGTACATGAATAGGAAAGGTTTAGAGGGATATGGGCCAAATGCTAGCAAATGGGACTAGATTAATTTACGATATCTGGTCAGCATGAACGAGTTGGACTGAAGAGTCTGTTTCCATTGTGTACATCTCTATGTCACCATCTGTGAGTCGTGTTTCATTCAAAGCCAGAATGGCAATGCAGTCATCCACAGTCTGCAAGGGCATAGCTGCTGACTGTATAGAATAGAGGCTCTGGAGAGAAGTGTGTCACCAGTTACCAGCAGGGTGACTTTACCTATCTTTGAAAAGAGAAAAATTCTGACTAGACAACTAACTCACATAAGTATATCAACATGCATAAAATAGCAGAAAAGATAGTTCACTGGATTATCACCAATGGTTTAGCACTGTTTAGAACCATTTGACCTTGTTCTACAACTTCTTTGAGATGTTAAAATTGAAATAGAAAGTGAAACACCTTACATTTAGACTTTTGACATTAAGCCAGAATTTTATTTCAAGTTAATGGGACCGAAAGGCAAATCTCAGCATCATGAAAAATGAGTAATAACTTATTATGCTAAAAAGAATCAGCTTTATTTAAAGAGTAATAATCATTTGGAATCATCTATTAGGTGCAGTTTTAAAGTCAAACACTTGGACAATTCCAGTTACAATAAAGATAGTGGGAGAACATTAGAAGTTCAAGCCACATAGCCTTGTCTCTTCTTTCAATATGCCTTTCTTGTGTTTTTATTAGAATTATGAAGGAATTTATAACTTTTTTTGACATTTACTATCAGAGAACGCATTAAAGATTGCTGTGACCAGTTACGAATGCTTCTGCCTTATGTGAAGGGTAGACGAACTGATGTGGCATCCATTCTGGAGATGACTGTGGAATATATGAGATACATTTATGGTAGAATACCAAGCAATGTTATATCACAGGTAAAAAAAATGTTGAAAATTAGAGGGTAAAAAGGAAAAGAATATGCAGATGCTTTTAAAATTCAAGTTTTTTGTTTGCTAATTAAAGGAAAATATCTAGTGGTAATATCAAATTGATTTAAAAAATATTTAAAACATTGTCATTATAACAAGCTTTTATTTATGAATATAACATGCATGTGTACTTATGATCAATGGCAAGACACAGCTCTATACGTGAATGAAATAGAGGATTACCTCACTTATGGGCATATTTGTATGTTGAAATTGCTTGCTATGATCTGTTTTCTGTGTGTTAGGAGGAACATACTTGGTGGAATTTTTCGAGCCCCTGAACAATGTGGGCATAGGTGATTCAGATGGGAAAATAGGATGAGCTTGGCAGAAATGAACTTCCTGACATAGAGAAGAGAAAAGGCTGATTTTCCAACCAAGTGTTAAACAGCGAAACAGAGAAATCCTGCTAGTGTACAGTGAGAAGCCGATTTGCATGAATTAGTATGTCTTCATTACCTAATCTCACCTCATTGATATGAAGTTTCCCATTCTCTTACCCACTGGAAAGAAACCAGACACCAACAATTCCCAACACAAAAGTCAGAGGGTGAACCTGGTTACTCCAGCTCACCACTTACTCCTCAGACCGTCCATTTTGGATAGAAGTCACCAATATCTCAGGGAACGCTCCATGGACAGTGACTGTTTGCACCCTGGCTTTGCTTGGGAGAGGGGAGGTTGGAGAACAGTGCAGCAAGATGGTTGATCTGACTCAGCTGTAGATCTGTGGCACGGGACAATGTTGGGAGATGGAGTTGTAATTCAGAGAGGTGTTTGGGAATGTGTGGAGGAACAGAACTGATGGGCACAATAGGAAGTGCCAGGAAGAAAGGAACATGGGGATTTGGTGGGTCCTCTTGATTATCAGGCTGGGCCTGTGACTCACTCTGCCAAGCCTGAGTAGCATCGCTTTCAAAATTAACGCAATTTGTAAATGTGTACTGGAAATGGAAAATGGCTATGACCACGTCAGGTTGGGTGGAGTAGTGTTTTTCTTTGTCTGAATCCACCGCCTCTACTTGTTCATGATAAAAGTCCCTTCAAGTGGTAGTTGCATTAATCAGGCTCTTCCACAGTACAGACTGAAGTCATCTATAACCATAATACCCTGCATATAAAGTACAACTGTGTGGGGTACAAATCCTGGCCACAAGGATACGAAGAAGAGTAGGCCACTCGGCCCTTTTGAGCCTGTTCCACCATTCACTAAGACAATGGCTAATCTGATTTTAATCTCAGCTCTACGTTCTGCATATTCCCAATAATCTCCAATCCCCATCGTAATCAAGAACTTCTGTCTTAAAACATTTAAATGTTCACATCTACTGTCTTTGAAGAAGAGAATTCCATAGACTTTCAATCATCAGAGAGAAAACAAATCTTCATCTTTGTTAAATGGGCAATCCCTTTGGCTTAAACTAGGACACCTTAGTTCTAGATTCTCCCGCAAGAGAAAACATCCTTTAGACATCCGCCCTCAGGATCTTATATGTTTGAATTTAGTCACCTCTGACTCTTTCAAACTCCAGAGGATACAGGTCTAGGCTGTCTAGCCTTTCATCAGAAGCAGTCTGCTCCTTGCAGGTATCAGTCTAATAAACATTCATTGCATAAGTATAGTGATCAGCACTGTACACTGTACTCCAGATGCAGTCTTGACCATGTCATTGTAGATTGAACATAGCCATCTCTGTGAAACAGAAGTAATTGCAAGCAACATTAGAAATGGCACCTGCAGGCTGGCCTCTATTCAGAAGATAATCCAAGATCTCATCACAGAATCTGACAATTATTACGGCACATAAGGAGGCCATTTGGCCCATTGTGTCTGTGTTTTCAAATGAGCATCATTATCTAGTGTCAATCCACTGCTTTTATCCCCATACCAATCGTTCAATTCAACCTGCATCTACCGCACTTCTAAGCAGCCCATTCCAGATCACAAATGGCTGAGTGGAAAAAATTTTCTCATATTACTTTAAATCCATGCCCTCTAGTTCTTTTTCCTTGTACAAGCAGGAATAGCTTCTCCCCTTCTACTCTATTCAGCCACACATTTTAAAATTTCTATCAAATCTTCTTTCAGCCCCCTCTGTCAAGGAGCACAGTCCCAACTTCTTCAATCAATCCACATGTTTGACATTTCTGGAACCACGCTTGTAAATCGCCACTGCACTCTCTTCAATCTCATCTGGTCCTGGTGCTTTGTCAACTTTTAGCATCAACAGTCTATCTAAGACTTCTTCCTTACTAATTTTGAAGCCTTGTTAGTGACAGAGATTCCTCCTCTGTCACTATGGCCTCAGCAGCATCCTCCTCTTCTGTAAAAACAGATGAAGAGTATTCATTTAACACCTCATCTATGCCCCCTACATCCATCTGTAAATCCCATTTTTTCTTAAACCACTCTTAACTTCCTCTTCAACCACTTATTTACTGTTTACATGCCTCTAGAAGACTTTGGGACTCCCTTTCATGTTAGTTTCTAGTATTTTCTCATAATTCTGCTTTAATTCTGTGATTTACTTTAGCACCTCCCCTCTATACTTTCAGTAATCCTCTTAGTTCTTAATTGAATTTCTGCCTTTTATCTGTTGTAATCCCACTTTTTTTCTTTTTAATGTTAATTTCTATCTCCTTTGACATCCAAGGGTCTCTGGATTTGTTCGTCCCACCTTTCCCCTTCGAGGGAATATTGCCACAACTGGACCCAAACTGCATCCCCCTTGAAGGTAGTCTATTATTTAGTTACTATTTTTCCCACCACTGTCTTGTTCCAGTCAATTTTGCTCAGCTCTGTTCTTGCCTGATTAAAGTCAGCTCCCCACTAACTGATTCTTCTCACTGGATTGTTGCACATCATTCTCCAACATCATCCTGAACCTTATGGTACAATGATCACTGTCTCCTAAATGTTCTCCCACTGACACATGATCCACTTAGTCCACCTCATTTCAAAGGACCAGGTCCAAAAATGCATCTTTTTTTTTGTTGGACTGGACACCATACTGCTGCAGGAAACTCCCCTGAACACATTCTCGAATACTTGACCCTCACTGCCCCTTACACTTTCAGTATCCCAGTCCATATTTGGGTAATTGAAGTCTCCCCTTATATCCAGTTACACCTCAAAGGCTGCACAAAGATATGCAATTGATTTGTCTCCCCTTGTACTTTAAGTATTCAACATGCTTTTATATGCAATTCTGCCTTTCTTGGATGATGTAGGGAGTGGAGAGACAAGGTATCTTTCATCATTAATTGTACAGCATTTACAATCTCATACTGTGCTTGCAGGACATGACATGTGGCTGCATTAATTGGAATCGGCTCTTGTCAAAGGTTAATGTAGGGGCATTCTATTGGCCGTCCTTGTCAAAGTCCTCTATGTCCCATTCCATGAGGAGTATGCCAAACCATCCGGGGCCAGGAAACAATGGTTATCCTCTGCAATCATGGTTGATTTTGTTACAAAACCCCCTGTCTGATGCAGAGCATCGATACAATTCTTCTTCACCCAGGGCCATGGCAGGGCTGACAGTAGGCTTGTTGAAGATAATGTTCCAGCGCTTGGTTTGAAGAGGTTAGGGGTGTGCTTGCAGTACAGCCTTAACAGAATGTGTCACATAATTCTTTCATGCTGTGGCTTGCAAAGAGGGGATGTGATAGATGCTGAAGAGTGAGGAGGAAGGTGAGGACATTGAGCTGGAGGAACACCGCTTTCAGTACAATGGAGTGCTGCAGTGTCAGGTGCAACAAGCCAGACACGAGTGAATTGACACCTGGTTCTAATAGATATGAGCTGGATACTCTAATATTCATTGACTGTAAATTTGTTGGTTACTTGAAAGGCAGGTGGTCTCTGCCTATTCCCAGAAGCCAATGCAGCTTTCATTTGTATTTATTTGCTTTTTCTGTTGCTGAATAAAAGTGAAGATGTTAAGCTAAACTGGGCATTGGGGAAGAGTAGTTCAACCATAGATATAATTCTGAGATGGATTGAGGCTAAGAACAGGTAATCTGTTTAGCTGGTTTTTTTACATAGCTACATATTTATGGTTTGTATTTGCAATGAAGTAGCAGCTTCTGCACCTGCATGCCCTGTAAAGCGTTGCTCCTACTACATGCAAGGTTGAAGGGGGGGCTCCTGGCTGACATTGATTGACCTGGTACATGGCTGGGCTTTAAAAATGACACCGGTGCCAGGAATCCTGGGAGGTTCCAACAATGGTGAATCCGGTTGCTTTCAACAAGAGCAGAGAAACATCGAGAGGTGAGAATAGAGGCATGGTGCATGAGTAATGAATTCCGTTTCGGAGAATAGGGTGATAAATCTCACCAGGGCTCACAGAAAGAAACCGTCCACAAAACTTGCCAAAATAGACACTTGACTGAACTTTACCAGAAAGCAATCCATTGTGTCTTTTAGTGATAGGTTTAATATTCCTGGTTACAACTTTTTATGCAAAGTACATTTACACTTCAGTTAACTGAAGAAAATATGTTAAGAAACAATTATCCAATATCTTAATAGTTACATTAAGGTGCCTTATTGAAAAGTTAATATTTTGCTTGGGCAATATTCAGTTACAGTTCAAATCACTGTTTTGTGATTTTGCGTTTGACTGAAAGAACAATCAATACGCTTCATTGACATTGAGCTGTTGCGCAATATGTCTTCCAGTATTTCTGTAATTTACAAATTGAAGTTGATATAGTCCTCTTGTTGTAATATAAATCTCACAGAATCATTACATGCAGAAGGAGGCCATTTTGCCCATTGTGTCTGTGCTGGCTGTACAATGAACATTTCACTCAGTGCCATTCTCTTGCCTTCTCCCCCAAACCCTACGCATTGTTTGTTTTCAAATAATCATCAAATTCCCTTTTGAATGCCTCCAGTGAAACTGCATCTGTTTTGGGCACTGAATACCCATTGTGTGAAAATGTTGTTGCTGCTAATATCACACCTTTGCTTATTTGACTTTAAATCTGACCCCTCTTGTCCTTGATCCTTTTACGTGCGGAAATATTTTCTTCTCATTTGCATTGTCCAGTCTTCTCATGATTTTGAACACTTTAATCAGATCTGCTTTGAAACTTCACTTTTCCAATGATAACTGTCCCAACTTCTGCCCTCTAGATTCAAAACTGAAAGTCCTCATCCCTGGAACTATTTTCTCAAAGCTCTACTGCACTCCCTCCAATCTGCTTACATCCTTCCTAAAATGCAGACCCCAGACTGGGTAATTCGGTACTCTAGGAGGTAAAATTAGTGTCCTGTATAAAGTCACCGTAGCTTCCTTGCTCTTGTACAGTATGTTCCTATTAATAAAGCCGGGGGTATGTTAGAATGTTTTATTAATTACTCTAGCAACCTGTCCTGCCATCTTTAATGACTTATTGATACATAACACCCGCGTCCCTCTGCACCTACATGCTCTTTAGGATTATATTCTTTATGTCCTATTGCTTCTCCATGCTCTTCTCCCCAAAGAGATCTTGCACCATTAGTTTTCACACCTTGCCTGGGATTTCTAACAAATTGTAAAACTAAAACAAAGTGGAGATCATCAGCAGTAAACACTAACTGTTCGGATTCTTAAAATATTTTTTTGCAGTAAATGCTCTTGAGACCTTTTTGTCCATTGGGAAGTTTTTTTTTAGCCTTGACCTTTTAGAAGGCATTGAAAAGTATATGGAAGCTGTGGAATACTGCTGCTATAATTCTCATGTTGTTCTGTGTTAATTTAGCTGCTCTTTTCAGAGATGGCCTGTTTATCTCTCTGCTGGAAGTTTATTTTTTTCTGCTTTTCTGTGTGCTTTTCTTACTATTGAGAACCAAATTTTGATTCCACAGTTTGGAACATAATCAATTTCAAAAAGAATAAGAGAAAATGAGGCAAATTCAGACATATGATTTTACATGAATACCTCCTGCGCAGATTTTCTGGTTTATTAGTGAAACAAAGGCAGAAATCAAAGTGGCACTTCAAGAGGCCTGGTAAAGGTCTGGAGTCCATTATGAATAGATGCTTAGGGCCAACAGATGTTTTTCAGTTTCCTTTGGAAAACATTGATGGCAGTACTTCTTCTGAGAGACTTATTTGTACCACCTGGAAGCATTCACATAGATTTTGGTGACATAATGCATAAAAATGACACATCAGGTTATCCATTGTGACCATGTCTTAAAGTGACATATTTCTAAAGGAAAAAATAGTCACTTTTACTCAAACTTGACTTGAGATTATGCTTTAAGCTGTGAAAAACAGAAATGTAGAAATGGCTCAAAATGAGAAAAGCTCGCTCATCTCATTATCTCTACTGCATTGGAAGACAGTGTTGAACTTACTCGAGTAACAAAACCAGAGACAAATTATTGATCCCATGTGGCAAGATTGCACATGAATATTCCTAGACTGTCACATTTAATCAAACCTCAGAATATTTATAGATCCTCAAAGTGGCACTGTCTATTTGACCAGCAGGCATTTTTTTTATCACCTGTAACTCCAGCTGCAAAAAACCCCATGTATCATTTGGATGTTTTGATTATCTCACCGGTTTAAACCTATATATATGACCTTTTAATAATATTGTGCATTTGTATTAATACAAATATTTCTGGAAGTATTAATCAAGACTGCATCAGCAGCTGTGTTTGGAGTTTAATCACCTATGCACAATTGCGTGGAATTCTTATCTTACTTGATGCTAGCTGATTTTGAGATTCTTAGTTCTCTGCTTCTTTCTAAAGCTTTTGAAACACCAAGCCAAGAAAGCTTAATAAAGCAATGCAGTCCTGAAAACTCTATGGAATTAAAATGCACAATGTTTGTGTATAACAGCACACAAACCTCCAAATGACACATCTACCCAAAGCTTCAAGCACCACATGCCCAATCAGCAGATCACACACTGGAGTGAGTTAACAGCCATCTCTGAACCCACCAACCTAAGAGTGGAAGCAAATAATCCTCCATCCTAAGTGACTGTCTAAGAAGATGGTCATAAGATGTATATGTAAACATAAAGTGCAATTAAGTTACAGATCAGAAATGCAATCTTAAAAATACCAAAAAAAATCATAATTATTTTCAAAGTTCTGAAGTATTTTCTCATAACTGACAAATCTCTAGATTATCCTGCTCATGCTTCTGAATTATTTTAGGTGCACCCTTTTAGAGAAAAGGGTGTGAAAATTGTGCACATCAACTCACATTTGACGACAGCAGTGATGAACAAATGGTTAATATAACTTCCTTTGACTTGTTATAAAGTGTCCTTGAGCTATATTCTTGCATTTAATTTGCTCTGTTGATAATTGCTGCACACTGATTGGAAACGTCAGTGAAAAATCATGCCTCAATCATTTCACCCCTTCACGTTCCACCCTTGCTAATAAAGCTCACTATACACTTCAGGGATACACCTATTAATCAGTTTGGCAGCGCTAAAATCAATCATTTACATCACAGTGCAAAGCTGTTGTTGACTATCCCTAATCAGTCCTTGCCTTTCCAAATACATGTAAATCCTGTCCCTCAGGATTCCCTTCAACAACTTGCCCACCAACAATGTCCAGCTCACCAGTCTATAGTTCCCTGGCTTTTCCTTACCACCTTTCTTAAATAGTGGCACCACATTAGCCAGTTGGAATATGACTTTTACTGAATACAATGCTCATTTTTTGTATGATTCCCAAAGAACTTCGTTCTTTGTAATTTGGCCATCAGTATTTTTGTGTTTATTTTAGTTGCATTTATTTTACATACAACTTCTCATTTGTAGAATGCCTTGTCAGGGTTACACTGATGTTAAAAAGAAATATAAAGCTTAAAATTGAACAATATTAATCTTTGAAAGCTTTAATATATGTTTGGATTAAATTCACGTCTCTACTATTTTAAAAGATGTGTAGCCTCTGTGTAAAATGAATAGGTTAATATCCCCAGTTAAATAGACTGCAGAGGGAAGTTTCATATAACTGCATAAATCATTCATGAGATTACATCAGTCAAAGAGGTTTCTAGGTTAGGCGCTGAGCATAATTCTTTTCTTGCCTGAAATTGATAAATGATTTCCTATCTAATAATGAAAGATCACTTAAAAAGAGTCCTAGTACTCATTTACATATTAATTCTCAAAATAGCACATTAATTTATGGAATGTTTTAACATTTCAGATTATTGAAATCTTTCAGACAAATACAAGATATTGTAAGTATGTATGGAAACCAAATGATGGTAAATATTCTCAAAATCAGTTGCCACCAAGGATTGGTTTAGTACCGAGGTAAGAAACATTTAAACATATTAGTTGCTGTGTTATATTTTGTACACCATGATTGAAAACTATTCTTGACAGAATTATCCACAAAGTGGCACTGCTACATACTGTGATAGTTGTAAATATATGCTTTTGGTGAAGTTCAATTCTATTGTACTTGTCATAAAAGAAAGTCTATTTTGAAGATAGATAGCCAGCACATCGAAATACCTTTGTGCCATAATGATTTTCCTTGTGGATGGAATGTGAACTTCTAGCAGGGAATTTAGTTTGTTGCTGCAAAATTGCCAGTGTGACATTGTTTGTTATTTATTCAAATTTATAGTTCCGACGGATAGTTTAATGCACAATTAGCCGAAGTTTCATTGGATTGTTTAGAAGGTTAAATTTAAATGGATGTAGGCTGATTCCACAAAATAAATCAGTGTGAGATTTGGGTCATGCTGATAATGAAGAGCAGCTTTAGGAGACTATCCCATTGTGGGCTAATTTTAGTATTTAATAATTGATTTCAGAACAGTGTGTGCTACTAAAGGGAGTGTAATGAGGTATAAAATAAAAGTTTGAATCATAATGTTCTGGTTTTATTTTACAGGAAGAGTGTCTTCACGGATGATTCTTCAGAAAAAGTAAAACTAAATGCTCAGTTTGCTCTGTGCCAATATACAGAAAATGAATATTTCAAAAATCACAACACAGTTGGTATGAATACTTTCTAATTGTACATGTTGTTATAAAGGGAGTTAGAAACCATTGTGTCCATTGTACCATCAGTTAGTTCAGTTGGCTGGACAGCTGATTTGTGATGTAGCGTGATGCTAACAGCATGGGTTCGATTCCCTTACCAGCTGAGGCTACCATGAAGAACTCTCCTTCTCAACCTCTCCCCTCCTCTGATGTGTGACCCTCGGGTTAAACCACCACCAGTCATCTCTCTCTTTTAAGAGAGCAGCCTTATGTTTTGGCAGGACTGTAGTGACTTTACCTTTACCGTGCAAGCAGCCTATATTGATCATTGTAGACCAGTTCATTCACTCAAAGACGAAAAGAGAAAAATCTAGAAACTAGAAGCAACAACAAGGAATAATTGATATGAATTTCAGCAATGAGTGTAATTTTGGACTAATTTTATTGAATTCTGTGAAGTTAAAGAGCAGATAAGGGCAACGTGATATTATATTCAGATTTTTCAAAAGGCCTTCCGAAGCCAGACAACAAGGAACAAAACAGATTAAAGGTTAAGAGTAGCTATTTGGATTGGAAAAAGGCAGAGAGTGGTTCCATAAGGATTGATGCTGGATCCACTGTTGTTTACACTTTACATTAATGATCGGGATTATGAATCAGAAGTATGATTTCAAACATTATTGACAATACCAAATTGGGAATTGTTGGCAGGAAAAGAAGAATGTGATAAGTTAAAGAAAGACATCAACAAACTTGAAGAATAGGCAGTTTGTTGGAAATCAATTTCAATATAAGTAAATATAAAGCGGTACTGTTTGGTAGATGAATAATGTGTCATATACTGCTTGGATATTAAGGCCTAGATTTTTGTGGAGTCAGAAGAATGCCAGAACTATTTAAAATTGGAGGGTGGGACCAAATTCTGGCAATCCACCCTCTGTTCACTGCATCTTTTGCTGGCTCAGGATAAGGATGCAGATAGTGAGCCCACACCATTCCACTCCTGATAAGGCTGGGTCCATTATGAGCTGGGCATCTCCTGGACAACCATATTTTGAGAGGAGTCAGGTCAGCTTTTACACGACTTGTGGTTCATAGATTGTTGAGGAGTTTTGAAGTATAATTTGGTTTCAGGAACTTTTTCAAAGGGAAGGTTTAAAAGATCTGAACTCTGACCCTTGAAATAACTCTACAGAGGCTGGTACCTCGTCACCAAGTCACCCTTTATTTACACATGCATGGTACTTGACATTGGTCCAGCTTCCTCAGAGCCAGCTCTGAGAATGAACAGAACCTCTGACACTCCTGTTATATCTGTAAGCCGGGGGTCCCTGTTTGGAACTTCTGTGAGTTCCACCTGACGGACCTCATAACAGTCACTAAATCTCTTCCCCCCCCTCTAAGTCTGTGGATTTAGGCCTGTTCTTTTTCTTGTAGCCTCTCCTGGAGTGGTTTTGCACCAAGTCCAGTTCCTCTGACTCAGCCTCGGATACAGCTGGCGTGTACCCGAACATAGCCTGCCTCTTGCACCTGGACCGTTTTGGAAGAAATTCATCCTCTTCTTCAGGCGGTAAAGGTGTTGAGGCTGTGATATCCGCTGTGTTCATCTTGTCCTCAGAGGTTTCTTCAATCCTAGGGGGAGGGGTAGAACCCACGGGTTCCAACAGCCTTTCTGGTTGTTTTAAGGGGCTGGGTATGTTTGCTCCTGCCCCGTTTGCGAGTTTGCAGCTTTCGTGTGTTTGACGTGCTTATTGGGGTCCACCTCACCTACCCCCTCAAACATTGTACATCACAGGACCTGACCTCGCATCGACTTCTTTCCTGGCAGGGCCATTTCCGTGTTTTCGGCACCAAACGTAATCCGCTGAAATGACCTGTCTCTCTTGCTTAGAGGAGTTTTGTGTCTGGCATTGGTGTTCCTGATGATATTTCAACCCCCCATCCCTCCCTCCACATGTCCTGGAAGGTTAGATTTAACCTGGTGTGGAGTCTTCTCCCCATTAGCAACTCTGCTGGAGCTATCCCTATAGTTGCATGAGGGGTGGTCCGATAATCAAATAGGTACCGGGACAGTTTGGTATTGAGCAAGGCTGTAGGCTGTTTCCTCAAGCCTGCCTTCAAAGTTTGGACTGCTCTATCCACCAGACCATTGGATGGTGGATGGTTTGGAAATGTCCTGATATGTCAAATGCCATTTGACTTTAGGAGATACTCAAATTTCCAATTAGTAAATGATGGCCTGTTGTCTGTGACCAGCACTTCTGGGAGCCTGTGTTGTGCCAAAGATGCTTGCAGCTTTTCTACCATCGTCCCCGTGTTTGACGAATGAACTCTGTACACATCCGATCACTTTGAGTGGGCGTCCACAATGACTAAGAACATTGAGCCATGAAAGGACCTGCTTAGTTGAAGTGTGACCGAGTCTGGGGTTTACCCGGCCATTCCTATGAATGTGGAGGAGCTGCTGGTGGTAACTTTTGACCTTGTTCACACTGTGGGCACTGCCCTCCCACCCACCCATATGGTTATGTCTGCATCTACTCCTGGCCGCCCAACATAGCTTCTTGCCAACATCTTCATTTTGGACACCCCTGGATGGTTGTAATGAACCTTTTGTTTCCCCCATCACCATCAGCTGTTTTAGGTTTGCCAGGACCAGATCTCTCTGTGTACACAGTCTGATATTGTCAACAGTGACAAGGAAGGATATCCAGAATTTTAAAACCAAAACAGACTCCTCCAGTGTCGGCACCACCAGTGGTGTATCTACCTGCAGGGCGTGGCTCCAGGCATCCGCATTTGCGACTTGACCGCCTGGATGATGTCCAACTTGAAACTGTACACACTTAGAATGAGAGCCCACTGCTGAATTCAACCTGAAGCTATGGGTAGCATGGCCTTGTCCTCTTTGAGTAACCCTTGCAGGGGTTTGTGAACTGTTATTAGTACAAATTTACATCCATAAGGTATTGATGGACCTTTCTCGGACCAAAGATGACCGCCAAACCTTCCCCCTTTATCTGGATGTGTTTGCACTCTGCATTAGCTAAAGTCTGAGAAGCATACACTGTTGTGCATTCCTCTCCATTGGGCCATCTGTGCGATAATATTATCCTGGTATCATACAGGGAGATCTTGCTTGTCAGCACCAGATTCCCCTGGTTCTTGAACTACCAAATAAAAGTCATAGCATCTCAGAATTAGAGGAGGCTTGGGGTGGTAATAATCCTTAATTAAACCTGTCAACTCTTGAATGGGGTTAGTAGCTGGTGCCTCAGAAAATGTTAGGCTCCTAAATAACTGAAAAAGCTGTGGGTCCATTAGCTGTCTAGAGAGTTACTCATTGCTTTACATGTAGTCTCAAAGTCATTTGCCCAGAAAAAATAATGCATTCTTTCCACATATTGGGCCAGTCTTCAATGGCAGAACTGAACAAGTCAAGTTTCCCAAATAATGGTATGATGCCAGAAATGCTTACCCCAGCTCAAAGATGACAGTTGCGTGTGAATTTCATCAGGACTGTATTTTTTTTTCTCTTGTTGCAACTGAAATAACTTCAGAGGCTGGTATCCTGTCGCCAAATCACCTTTTGTTTACATGTGCATAGTACTTGACACTGGTTCACCTTCCTCAGAGCCAGCTCTCAGAATGAACAGAATCTCTGACAATCCTGTTCGTATCTGTCAGCCAGAGCTCCCTGATTGGGGCTGTTAACCTGGTCCAATCAGAGTACTGAAATTCTATGAGGTCTATCTAGCTGACCTCGTTACAATCACTACACCCCTGTTCTGTACATCGAGTATGCTGGGTGAATAGGCATGGAATAGCCATGAGTCAGCATGTGAGCTGTAAGAAGCCTGAGGGATTTGGCATGGGCAAATGGAGCTGGCATCAGGAGTGGTTGGGAGGTGAAAATCAGAGTACTATGCACATTCTGGGTTCCATGTTATCGAAAGAATATGGCAGTATTACAAAAGTGCAGAAAAATGATTAGCGAAGGTGTTACTGGAAGTGTGAATATATGTTTATCAGGAAAGCATGAGGTAGCTAGGAATCTTTTCACTAGAAAAAGGAAAGATGGCTTGATAGAGGGCATCAAGATAATGAAGGGGCTTGAGAGGGCAGATGTACAAAAATCCATTCCACTTGCGGGGAATGCCAAAACTAGAGGTTTTAATTATAAGGAAAAATTCTTCACCCAAACAGTGGTCTGAATATGAAGTACATTATCACAAGGAGAAGTTGAGGCAAGTAGCATAGGTACATTTAAGGAGAAGCAGGTAAGTACTCAAGAGAAAACTTGATTTAAGATACTCTAATAAAGTTAGAAAAAGAGCAGAAGCAGGCTTATATGGCCCATGTAGTCTACAGCACAGAAATGAGCAAATTGGCATTAAAAAAATTGCTATTTCCTGAGTGAAATATGCAAGAGAGTTAGTGTTTTTAGATGTAGGACTTGAAAAGGTGCCATTTAGTATGCACCTATTGCTAACCTCACAATGTTGCATTTACATCTTATTACCAACATCAACTACCAGTTTGATTCTCTAATTTTAACTCCCAAGCAGACAAGTGGTAAAACATGCTTGATTATTGTGAATTTCAGCTAATCTCAATTTTTGTTCCACGTATTTCAAAAAAAAACACTGCTTAAGTTCGATATTTGAGTGACATGTATCAATACACACACACAAACCCCCATCATGGAAAGGTTTCTGCCCACTGTGCTGGCACATTACCAGTGGCTGGGGTATGAACACGCTGAGTGTTGAGATTGCTAGGTAAACCCTCGTGGCTTCTTTGCAGTTTGGGAGGGGGAGTGACATCTGCATCCCAGGGCTTTCTGATCACCATCATATTCTGCCCCACCACCTCCAAAACCTGCTTTGTCCAGGTCAAACAGGCAGGTCCCATTTAAAGTCTGCCCTCCAGTTACACTCCTGGGTGGAGGCTAATTGTGGTCACTGCTCTGGCAGCCCTTGGATGCGGGACACTCAAAATAATGAAGATAGAAGCCATGACTTTGGGTAAACAAATTGTCTGACAATCCCCCGTTAAGTCTGCATGTGACTTTCTGAGTAAGCATGAGTGAACTGGCCCCTAACTTTTGGCCATGGCCGCCAGGCAGCATCATTGCCTCTGCTTAATATTCAGTCTACTGTGTGCAAACTGGTTTCTCATGGTTACATTCAACAGTGATGCACTAATTGTGAGATGCTTTGAATGTCGGGAAGGATGGGACATAAATGCAAGATTTTTAAATTGAGTAGTCAAAATTGACTTTATTTGTAGTGAAAATTTGTTTTTTCTCCCTAGCTGCAGGTCACATGATGTACAACTGCAGAGTTCATGAAGCTGCATTTGAAGCAAATCAATACAGCATTCCTGTTACAGAAAGATTAGTTCCACAAATTCAGACGAATATTTTGTCTCCAAATATCCCTCCTTCAACTTTCTTTCCTTTCACACATGATGTTCAAAATATTTCCCTCCCTAATCTGACTAACATCTCAATCTTCCCTTCAGCTGTGTGCCCTAATGGTTCTTATCCAATGTTTACTAATTCTAATGGAAGTTTGTGGTCCACTGGTATTGCCAGATCTGATATCGGACCCTCTTCTTTGCTATCTTCTAGTAATTGCTCAAATTATTTATCTTCACTTCCTTCAGATTACTCTGCCAATCCTTTTTCTATAGCTTGCACCTCTCCTGCGCAGACTGCAGGAAGAAATGTTCAGCTGTGCACTGTTGACTCATCCTCCTCTTCGGTAATTCTATCCAATGGCACAAATCATACACTACCTACTTCCTCAGTTGAATTTCCAGCAAAGCCTTTTGCAACAGATTGGACAACCAATAGGGAATGACCGAGAACAGAAGAAAGAGCTACATAATTGATTACAATATTACTCCAAGGTAATCTACAACATACTTGTTTGCTATTGTATATATTGATGACTTATTTATTTATATTAATCAATTTTTGATAACCTGGTCATGTAGAATATATTGGTGGTTGAGAAACTGGAGTTTTGACAGAGTTTTTGACCTTTGACTGAGCTTCCTTATTTGCCCAATTACAACCTTGTTATTGGGTCGATGTTCATTTCATGGGCATCTGTAGCATTATTAACATTAAGATGTATTCCTCCAGTACATAACATTCGTGATGTTGCAAAGTAGGTTACCTTAAATAGCTGAAATCCTCCAAAGATGAGGAGAAAAGATCTGACTAAACACCTCAGCAGAGACACTAAGCTTCAGTTAGTCCAGAGACTTACTGTAGGGAGAGGAGGCCATTTAAAAGTTTATCCTTTCATTGGAGGAGCACTTAGGTCCTAGGAAGTCTTGTAAGTGTGTGAGAAAGATTAAAAATCTACACATGACACATGGGAAAGGAGCAGCCAGTGATAATTTTGGTGAAGATATGGGGAGTGAAATCCCAATTAGTGGACTAAAATGGCTCCAAATTTTTCAACATTGTCCACCTTGTTCCCAGTAGATTTCATATACATTCAGAGCAAAAATAATCTTCCATAACATCATCTTTGCTCACTGGTAATATTCTGATTTGCAAGTCAATGGTCTTGAGTTCAAACCTCACTCTATGGAATTGATCTAGATATTAATGCAATGCTAAAGTGGGTGCTACAATATTAGATGCACCATGTCTTGGAAGACCACTATTCAAATGAGAGCAGAAAATATATTTTGGATTCCTGACCTATATTTATTTCTCAACCAGAATGCTAAAATTGATTGACCTGGATTCTGTTGTAAGTGCAAATGAATATTGCTAGCCATTCATTACACTTACACTTGCATACAGATATTTTATTACCTATTGTACCGGAATTTGTGATATTTAGAAATCCAAATCAGTGCAGTGCTCGCTACAGAGGATCTTAACCCTATTTGAATAGGGCAAGCAACTGCATTCTCCTTGACCAATTAACTTGAGCAGTCCTTAGTGAGGTATGCAGAGTCTGAAATGACAAATCAAAGTTTGAATAAATTTAATTCATTGCCAAACCTTATAGAAAGTGAAATTTAAAGAAAAGAGGGAAAATGATAAAACATGGATAAAATTGCCAAAAATAAAAGGTGTATATATATTTTAAAAAACTCTAGTTATAACTAAAGTCTGAGTGCATGAGATTATGCTTGGTTTCAGTGCTAAAGAGTTGATTTGAGAGTTAAACCACACCGTTAAAAATACAGTCATGCTTAATTGAATAAGGACTAACTTGTCTGGCTCATTTAGTGAGTAACTAATGGATAACTATCACAAGCTCATGTTTTTCATGTATTTGAAAATATATTTCAGTAAGATACTGGAGGAGCTGGAATTCTAACAAGTTCCTCATTTCTGGATTTAACAGTGACTTGCAGTTGGTGCAACTCTGTCTGACTTACCACTCGTATCATTGAGTTCTAATAGCATTACCATTATTTTTAAATAATTTCAGGCCATCAACAGGTCTTATCTTGTGTTGAATTCTGTAGTGGCTATTGTGCAAGATTGGCCTGCAGCAATGATCTGGACATATTGTGTTCAAACTAGTATTGATGATCATTCAGTAATGTTTGATATTGAAGAAAATCTGCTGTGCTCGAGCAGTCTGGCCAATGTGTGACTCCAGATGCACAACAATGTGTTTGCCTCATAACTGCTGTCTTGAAATGGCCAGCAAACTATGCAGTTGTATTCAAGAAGGGAGTTGACCACCACCTTTTTTGAGGGTAATTAGGGATATACAATATATTTTGGCCTTATCACTGATGCCAATACCACATGATATTTTTTAAAAATCTGTGTCACACTTTGATGGATGCCACTACCTCCCCACTTTGTACACTACCAGTGAATGCTCTCTGCTTGCATACCAACACATTCACCACATGGCACCTGTTAGGTCTTGCACTAGAATTGTACTTGAATGCCATTTTGGAGTCAAAATGTCACTCATGGAACTGAAAAAATGGGTACTAAGGAGTCAAATTTTGCAGCTAGATTGCTTCAAGGGTTGTTTTGCATCACGAGGTCAATATTTTTTAAGTAAGTTGTATAGATACAGCAGTGTAGTTCCAGTGATCACATTATGATGCATTCCCACCTCTTGGTAACATATGTTCGGATTGTAACGTGACAAACTGTAAAACTGATGATTTTGCTGACTAACCTTCTGGAATTTGCAATTTTCTACTTATCTGTTTTATTTTTGGAGCAAATATTACAAATGGCACCAGCCAAAGATGAGTGCAATATGTTGATTTTCACTTTTGTATATATATCTATCTAGGGAAATAAGCCTGCCAAATGTTACCACTGAATGCAAAGAGGAAGAGAGAAATTGAGAAATGGTTGGAAATCTAAACCACTTTAAAGAAAAAATCTTTGAACACAAACGAGTCAGATAATGACAATGGAAGCATTGTATAATGGCCTCTCTATTAGCCATTTCAATTATTCTAGTCATACTATTTTGATTTATTCTGCAGAAATTGTTTTCTCAACTTCAGTCAATGCTCTGATTTGTGACTGGTGAAGCATATATCTCCATCATATTCGGTAACTGGAAATTCTGCTTCAGTCAAAAAGAGTCTAACTTTATTGGTGAAAGAAGCAAATGCACAATTTCAAGCATATTTCTTGTAGAATGAGAGTACTAAATTTGTATTGAATTTTATACAAGCTAAAATTTATGTGCTATTATAATTGTTTAATATCAATATGTAGACAAAAGCTTTTAGTCTAACAAAGTAAACAGAAAGACAACTTCGAAATTTTCAGACAGTTATTTTGAGACCAGCAGTAATCCTAATCAAATCCCAAAAACATGATTGTTTTGAGTATAATATCTGTTTTCAGTGTGTCCGATTTTTTTATTTTTGCTTTGTTACCTTCATTATAAAATTGGGTGCTTAACCTGAACTCGCCCTATTTCTGTTGGATTGTTTCTGTTAAAGTTGCTTCCTTTATGGAAGTGTTAGGTTTGACAGTTAGTTGACCCAAGTGTTTTAGTTATATTATTAAGTGGGAAAAAATTACATTTGATTTTTCAGAATAAAAGATAAATATAGAATAAATGTTCAGAAGGTAAACATAAGATGTTTTTGAATAATGGAAAATGCAACTACTATATTTTTCTTTTGGGGTTTCTAAATTTATAATGCACTGTAGGCTGGATTTATGTCTTACACTTGTACTTATGCTAGCAGACAATATAATCCTTATTTAATATAGCGATTATCAGTTTCTACCCTAGTCAACTTAGGATATTTTTCTTAAATTGTCATCAACACAGTAAAACCGACAGGAAATGTTATCAAATAGTAAGTTATAGATTATTTTAAACTTGCGAATATATTTTTCGCTAACAATACCTGTTGCCTTTGGAATGTACGCCCCATTGACAGTGGAACAACTGTAGCATGTGATGGAATCTTTAGTGGAGAAAATAAAAGAGAAACTCTCCTGTCAGACAGCTTAATTTCTTTTGATGTAGAAATTTACAATTTGTTGTTGAATAAAATGTTCCATTAACTTGAATGGACTGAGCAACTCCCTCCTCCAGTCTTGTTGGTTGATTTTTATCTATTGCTCTCTCAGCAAAGCAATAGAGTCTGGGGTAGGGATGGGGCTATAAAACCCAACCGTCACTATCACTTCTGTATTACGAATCACCATGTTCCTATCTATTGCTGAAACAAAATTTTGTGAACATATTTTGCTGGTTTATAATTCAGTTTTCGATCCTTAGAGAGCTTCAGGGCTCCACTAGGTCTTGTGTTCTTAATAGCCAACTTTTTCTTGTTAGCTTTCATTTCCTTGCAAACAAAGCTAACAATATCTAATGTATAAGCAATTTCCAAAATCTGTTGTATAATCCACCTGTTTTATTTAGTTGCAGTACAGTACTTTGCTTAGCTGTAATAATTGTTAGTGTTAAATAACTTCTAAAAAGGTGTGATTTTTTTGAAACTGAATATCACAAATTGAAGATTAATTATATGTGCAAATAAACTTTGTGATTGTTTGTAATTTTATTACTAAAATGTATAAAAATTTGCTACCCAGAAAGAAGTCAAGGCCTTGAGAGGTTATAAATTCTTTGATTAACTTTATTTGTTTGCCGATTTGATGAATATTCCAAATATGAGAAAAAAGAAAACTGTGTGTATTATTTTTCTACATTGGTCACACATATATGGTTAGATGAGTTTGCAATTCAAGTGAAGACTTAATTTTTGGACTGCACAAATGGAGCACAATTTATTATATTCAGCATTATTATGCGTGACCATGGTTCAGGTTCAGTGATTCGGATGTCCTGGGAAATAATATAAGAAGTTAACTTGAAGTACTTAGTTAAGTTGTCACATGCACTGACGTTCAACATTTAACCAAGATGTAGTGTTCTAGCAATTGAAAATATAGTGGTAGCCTTGCTCCAATTACATTATAATGTAATGTGAATTATTGAAGTAAAGTATAATTATTTCAATATTGTTTGGTAGTTTTATATGGTGTAACTTCTTGACAGTACTTCCAAAACCCACATCTGCCACATATAAATCCAAAGGAAGCCTGTGTAATAATTCACCATCTCCTTCTCAAGCAATTAGGAATGGTCAATGAATATCAAACTTTCCAGTTATACCCACATCCCTCATGAATGAATAGTCAAAAAAATTAATTTGATGCATTATTGAAAATACCACAAAGAACTTCGGCTATCAAATTGTTGCTCAAACTTTTAAGTATTATTTTGGTTTAGATTTTCAAACAGATACACACTTAAAATAAAACTTTTGTGCAATATTCTAAAGCCAGTATGAGTTTTATTAATGTTCTGAATTTGGAAACTAAATCTAATAGCATTGCAATTTTTAAGCTGCTGTCTGCAATCTATTGATCAAGTTCATTTTTAATGGACACAGTGACAATGTAGTTCAGATGGGAAACGGTTTAGAAACTTCAGAAATTTGGCACCACAGGGAGAACTTGTGGTTGGGCATTGCAAGTACTTCACGATAGTTGACATTGCAAATTTGGATGGGAGGCATTAACAAAAGAATTTGCAATGGTATTTTTCACATGAAAGCATGACAAAAAATTGTGGACGATGCGTGTGCATCAAAATCATATATTTTTAAAATATAATTTAACTGAAATGTAATCTATTTAGTGATGTAATCTGTTCTTGAATGTGTCAGGTTAAATAAACATAATTAAATAACACATTATTTCTAAATAAGAAGCCCTAACATATTGTCCTTCAAAGCAATTGTACACACAATTACACTTACCATTACTCTCATTGCAGCAGTTACTAGTGCTCATATTGCTGTGTCGGTGAATTTTCTTGACAACTTGTGCACTCTTAGTTTAAATATTTAAGTTATTCTAAAGATTTGGTATTCTAATTTTACGAGGAGTAGGGAGAAACCTTATTTCTAACTATTAGTATTCAACTCATTTCTTAATTGTTGACTTAGATGAGGGAACTAAATGTAATATCCCCATGTTTCAGATGACATAAAGCTGGGTTGGAAGGAGAAAGATAAGGAGGATACAGAAATGCATATGGATGCAAGTTTGAGTGTGTGGGCAAATGCATGACAGATGAAGTATAATGTGGATAAATGTGAGGTTATCTATTCTGGTAACAAAAATAGGAAGGTAGGTTATTATCTTAATGGTGATAGATTGGGAAACGAGAAAGCACAACAACATCTGAGTGTCCTTGTACAGCATGCGGGTGTAGCAGGTGATGAAGAAGGCAAATGATATCTTGGTTTTTGTGTCAAGAGAATTCAAGTATAAGGGTAGAGATATGTTTCTACAATTGTATGCCTTTGTGAGACCACACCTGAAATATTGGGTGCAGTTTCGGTCTCCTTATCTAAGGAAGGATGTTGTGGTTATGAAACATAGAAACAGAAAATAAAAGCAGGATTATGTTGTTCATCCCTTCAAGTCTGGTCCACTATTCAGTATGATCATGGCTGATCATCCTACTCAGTACCCACTTCCTGCTTTCTCCCCATACCCTTTTATCCCTTTAGCCCTAAGAACTATAAAGGAGGGGGTGCGATGAAAATTTACCCGACTGATTCCTGGGATGGCAGTTCTGGCACATGAAGAGAAACTGCATCAATGAGGATGATAACCATTGGAGTTTGGTTGAATGAGAGGGGATTGCATATAAACCTATAAAATTCTAAAAGGATTAGACCGGATATACTCTGGCATTAATTAGCTCAGTTGGTTGGATGCCTGGTTTGCAATACAGAGTGATGCCAATAGTGAAGGTCCTGCCTTCTCAGCCTCACCTCTTGCCTAAGGTGTGGTGACCCTCAGGTTAAATTCACCACCAGTTCTCTCTCTAATGAGAGAACAGTCCTATGGGACATGTTTAGATTTAGGAAGGATGTTTCCAATGACCAGGGAATCCAGAACCAAGGCCACAGTCTAAGGATAATGGGTAGGTCATTTAGGAATTTCTTCACCTAGAGAATGGTGAGCCTATGGAATTCTCTGCCACAGAAAGTGCTTGAGATCCAAACATTGAACATTTCCAAGAAGGAGTTAGATATAGTTCCCAGGACTAAGGGATCAAAGGGGATGGGGAGAAAATGAGACCAGGGTGTTGAGTTGGATGATCAGCCATGATCCTATTGGATCATGTTTAAAAGGGTCAAATTGCTTACTCTTGCTCCTATTTTCTGTGTTTATTTACTTTATTCCCAGTAGATATAGAATTACCAATACACTAACAGATGTTCTGTCATATCTAATTAGATGGTAGCAAGCACATGCTGATTCTTAACCATTTAATTGGTCAGCCACTACAAGCTGTTGTCATTAACTCCTGATTATGTTTGTTATTATCAACTGTGACCATTGCAGCTTTGTCCATCACTGTTGCATTCTGGAATTCCCGCGAGCTTGTACGTTAATGAATACTGCTCACTCAGCAAGTAATTAACTCTTATCGATTATGTGTTTGCACATTATCATGATTTTCCACTGCTTTTATTCCCTCCATTTAAATGCATTATATAAAAGAATTCCTTATGCATCAACTTACACTATTTCAAGTATAAACTGTAAAATGAATAACTTTTCCCACAAGGTGTGCTTTCCTTTGCCAGATATTCTTAATGTTTGAGTAATATTGCAAGTTAGGTAATCATGAGAATTTGCTCATTTCTTGATAGACTTGTATATTTTTCCATTTTTCTCAGCAGTTTTAGCTGTATTCAGCACCAAGAAGAATCTTGCAGCGTGCAACGACTTCCCAGTTTTAGCAAATGATTTAACATGAATCAGAAACTTTGGGTGTCTTGAGGCAGTGCGCTTGGAGGCAGGAGGACAACTTAATTAGGCAGGATAGTAGAGAGTCAGAACCCTACTGCCACCAATCGAATTATGTTGTGGATGAGAAGGTTTGTGCTTTATATTCCCACCCGACTGCCAGTCCCAACTAAGGGCCTTTCTCTCAGCTCCAGCAGAAAGTAAGAGATGCCCACCCGATTGGTAATCCAGTGTTCCCTGGGGCCTTCATTTAAAAGAAGGGCCTGTTATTACCCTCTAAACTGCCTAATTAGAAGAAGAGATGGAGGGCCTGTCTATGAGACCATAAGAAGTAGGAGCAGAAGTAGGTCATTCAGCCCATCGAGTCTGCTCTGCCATTCGATGAGATCATGGCTGATCTGATAATCCTCAACTCCACTTTCCCTGCCTCTTTCCCAGGATCCGCAGTTCCTTTACTAATTTGAAGAGTCAAGTGGGGGTATCTTTTGAACATTTTTGAACAAGCAAGCAAGACACCCAACTAAAATGGACAAAAGTAAGGGAGCCTTTGTGTCTTAAAGACGATAAAAGTAACTCCGAGCTTATGAACCTTGTGTTATTACAAACTTTGGAACTTTAATAACTGTTAATGGACTGAATGAATCAACAAAAGATAAATAGCAATAACTCTGCCTGGAATAAACTGTTGAGGAACAAGGACAAGCTGTTACACAGAGACTCAAGCAATTAGCCATGTTTTGGCAAAATTACATAAACAACATTGCTCCGACACCTGCTTGATAAACTGGATGCTTTATTGCCACAAAGAACAAGGATTGCCCAGCAGAAGAATTTAAGGCGTTAATTACAGGAAAGCTGTTCAAACAGAAAGTTAAGGCCAAATGTAACAAAACAAAGAAATTACTTTTGATAGGAAGCCAGCTGCTTCCAGTAATTTGGTTGAAAAGATTTTTTAAAAAATTAATCATCAGTATATCACCTCAGACACCGAAGGATGAAAATCTGTTTAAGAATCAAACACGGGAACAACTCAACAGCAGAACTTCAAAGAACAGCACTGTGTAAGGGTCAAATGCTGGACAGTCCCCCTCCAGTGGCAGACCACATTTTGATTGAAGTCCTATTCAAATTTCACCATTAATTGGGTAATAACTAAGTCGGGTCGCAGACTTGTACTTGCTTACTTGAGGGGTCTTACATTTGGTTGCGACATGCAATAAAGTTTGAATTATTGTTTCAGTATTTGATTGTGAGATTTCTTAATAAGTAGCTGAATTAAAGGTAACTTGTGGTGGTTTACCTACAACAATTGGCGTCCCTGGGTGGACTTTGAAAAGAAATGACTTTAAGTTGCTTTGAAGTTGAACTTACCAGCCTTGTATTCTCAGAAATCCTGCCTGAGCTGATATTAAGAGGGAAATCAAGCGGATGGATGAGGATAAAGGCAACAATTTTCAGACTTAATTGGAACATTTAAA